TCGGTAATCGGTCTTATGGGAACAATGCTCCGTCTTTTGGAGGACGCGTGGTCAACGGTTTAACCGCTAAGGCATGCGAAACAGGAGTACGCCCCCCCCCCCCCCTCCCCCTGCGCGCACGCAAAGGGGATGAGCGCACCACGTTGTGTTAAACTGGTCAAGCACTATCGAGGGTTACACAGTACTTATAACTGTCTCTGCAAGTGAAAGCACCAGAAAAGAAACAAATCATTCGCAGCTGTCATGCCTATGCAAACGAGGTAAACACAAGACGCCGTATACCTCAATCAGGATGCAGCGCACCCTCCATGCGACTCGCCGAACACCTCACGGCGCTTCTTGCTTGGTGATGTGATAGTCTGGTCCGGTGAAAACCCGGCGTGCTCAGGCTTTGTAGGGATGCAAGGTCAATGGTCTAACGACTACGGCCTACGGCTGTGAGAACCCCCCGCCCCCGCCCCCGCACGTCACGAAAAACGACGCCGCGGCACAGCAGGGCACACACACACACACACAAAAGAAAAACGAGCGTAGCACCGCATTTACTGCTGGTAGTAACCAGCACCAATATACTAATGACTGACATTGAGTACTCCAACATACACAGCGGAAGCAGCTGCTGCTAACAGCCGCGGCTGCGCCCGCACGTCACGTGTCATCTGCGTGGTCCCGCCAGAGCCTCGTCGAAGGTGCCCCCGTCGTCGTCGTCCGCCCCTAGCTTCACCTCCGGGATGACCACCAGCTCGATCAGCGCGTAGCCGAAGGTGCTGATGAGCACCACCGAGACCAGCGACATGGGCAGCCCCGAGGCGAGGAAATCGGGCACCCTGAGGTACTTCCGCTGGTAGTCGTCGGTGACCAGGAGAGCGGTCACGTTCGGGAAGGAGGAGAAGGGGAGCGCGCACCCGGAGGAGACGGCAAGGGCGGCGGCCGCGCCAAGGAGGATGGGGTTGCCGCACTTGACCCCGACCTCCACGATGAGGGGCATAAGGATGAGGGCCGCGACCGTGTGGCTCACGAACGTGGAGATGCACATCGTCACGCACACCACCTCGACGAGGAGGAGAAAGCTGTTGTCCTGTTGTGTCATGGTAGCAGGCAGGCAGGCAGGCAGGCAGGCAGGCAGGCAGGCAGGCAGGCAGGCACGCCAGGCGGTTTTTGTTGTTTTGGGAAGGGAGGAACACACTCACGCACGTTAACCCGAAAAGGAGATTAGAGAAGAGAAGAGCCGAGGGCGAAGAGAGGAGGGGGGGGGGGAGTTGGCGGGACAAGCGGGATCAAGTGTGCGTGCCGCTAGACTACGACCTTCATGAGACAAGGACAATGAACTTGCGACACTCTTACCAGAAAAAGGAGCGTATTTCAACTGAGGTAAAGACGAGAATCCCGGAGAGTGGTGTTGTATATGATGGCTTTACTTTATAGAAGTAGGATGCTGCGTGTGCTCGTACGGCACCGGCAATTTCTCAGGAGAGGAGGCGATCCATAGAAAAAGCACCAGCCGAAAGGTGGTTGAGTACATATAGACCAGGTGGTTGGGGGGACATATAGCCGAGTGTAAAGGCGTTCGTGGGTGCCGAATACAGCCTAGTGAGAAAGCATCAGCGCATATACTTTCTGCACGACGGCAACAATGTCTAGCTTGACAGCTAAGGAGTCGTTCCAGGGGGGCGGAGGGCGGGTACCAACTTGTTGATTGCCAAGTCGGCTGGTCACTGACGAACCATTTCATTGTCCACAAACGCAGTGCTGTTTCTTCTCCTGGGATAGACGCGCAACGTTAAGGTACGCTCTTTCCGCGGCCGTGTGGCCGTAGCAGTACTACACAAACGTGTAAAATCTTCTTACCCCCCTCGTCTTCCGGCCTGTTGTAGCTCTAATCTCTCTTGCAAGGGTTTCTCTTGGTGCGAAACCCATTCAATACCGTTAGTATCTAGCGGGGGGGCAATTCGTTCACGCCGCGCCTCTCCTTGTTCTCCGTCTCCGTGTCGGACACGTCGCGTTAGTCCCTACTCCTGCGGTCCACACCTAGCTAAAACAGCGGTTACATTCCCTTCTTCCTCTTGCAAGGCCGAGGAGGGGGATCAAGGAGTCATTCGAAAGGCGAGGGGGGGGGGGGGGGGCACGCACACCTTCGGCAGCAGATCGACAATGCAGTGGGCCAAGTAATCGAGCAGTCGACTCGAAGCGATCGCCTTCCCCAGCACGTTGCCTCCTCCCAGCAGGAAGAGAGTGTGCCACGAGAAGGAGTTAAAGTCCACCTGCGATGATGAACCAAGTTGAAAGGCGGTGGGGGGGCGAGGGGTCTCACGTGTTGCGTCGCGGTTGCTAAGTCTCGAGATCAACCAATCACCCCTCCCATTTGACGGAGTTACCGCCATTCCCAGCGTCCGCGCGCTTTCTGCACGACTGCCATATTTGTTATGTGAAGTTGGGCTTTTACTGTGCTGCACCTGGCGGCAATTGCCTGCCGGGGGGGGGGGGGTACTTCACGTTCAGGAGCGAGTTGCAGGCATGTTGGTCTTCAAACCCAGGAGGGGACGAAATTGGTAATGCCCATGAGTAGGAAGAATCAAGTACACCATCACGTCACGGCATGGGTGCCGTAACAAAATAACTGCTACAACGTGCACCAAGGACGTTGATGATAGTCACACCCAACGGCTACTCGGCGAAAATCACAACCAGCAGACGACAAATCCAGAGAGCGCCACCATTCCATGTGAAAAACAAAACATCACCGGGGCAACGACGGTGACACCGAACACGGCGGCAAAACCTACAACACCGGCGATAAGTTTTAAACAAACACCGACAAACGACGATATCTCTCAACCTCGCTCAGGATGCCGGAGCCGAAGGCGACGATGATGAAGAGGAGGGCGATGATCCCGACGTCGCCGAAGAACCCCTCCGTCTCCCCGATAGTGCTCCACCCGAAGATCGTCAGCAGGGTGAGGGATATGATGAAGACATTCTTCCGCGAGACCGCGTCGCCCCGGGAGTGCACGATCATCGGGATGCTGTCCACGTCGTTCGGGTTCACCACGACGCACACCACCACCCACGCAATGAACACGCAGAGGACGCAGAAGGGGATGCCCACGGCGATCCAGGTGCCGAAGGATATCGTGAACCCGGCGTTCTGTTGGAGGGGGGGGGGATCGTATGCAGTACGTTTTGAGAAGGTGGGGGCGGGGGGGGCATACTCACGTGTTAGTCGTTCGACCATTGACCACGCGTCCTCGAGAGGACGGTGCAATCAGCGAGAAAGCACGAAAGACACAGAGTGCCTACCACCGCTGACTCTCTACTAGCTCTTTCGTCACTCTTCCGCAGTATACAGCCCCAGCGCCATGGGCGGTTCGGATGGTAGCCAAGGCTGCTGCCGAAGCCCCTCCAAGCCAAACCAGAACAAGAGAAGCAAATCGCGCTCGACGCGAAGCTCGGACACTCTACACACCAGCGCGTGAGCGTGTCTCCCTAACCCTATAGACACCATGCTACTAACACCGAACAATAGCACAGGACCGACGACGAACCGGACCTCGAGTGCCTGCCGGGCCACCACGTTCTGCATGGAAGAGATGGGAGTCACCATGCCGCCGAAGTTGCACGCGAACGCTAGCCCCAGCAGCAGGGCCTTGGCAAACCTGCAGACAAGGCACGTTAAAAAAGAGAGAGAGAGGGAGAAAGAGAGCTTTGCACCAGAGATGGCAAGCGCTTGAGCGTGCTCACCCGCAAAGGTTGGAAACAACAGCAACCACAAGAACAACCCCATCGTTTCTACCCAACGCGTCGCGAACGCCATATCAGCGCTCAGGAGGAAAGGTCAGGAGTGCCAACACCGAACAGTCTACCGTCACTCACTCCTCGAGGCACCCAAAAGCAAGACCCTCGTGCGGTGATGGTTGGACACTTAGAAGACCGACGGGAGAAGTAATCCGGGATGGCAGAAACAACAAACAAGAACACGAAAGAACGCCCACCAGCAACGTCAGTGATCACACTACATACCACGTGCAGGAACACTGAACCTTCCCCCACAGCAGTCCTGCCCGGCACCCCCCTCTAACCCTTGCCGGCGTTGTCACAACTCACTTGCTGTCTACATGGAAGTCTCTGATGATGGGCATCAAGATCGACACGCACAGGACGGGGGCTGTGTGGTTGCTGATCAACGTGGAGAGAAACAATCCTGTTTTTTTTTGTGTGTGTTTGGCGTTCCGGCGTTCAAGGTGCGTCGTTGCCGAGGAAGGGAGGGAGGGAAGGAAGGGACAGGACGAGGGGAAAGAGAGGGAGGGAGGGGGGGGGGGGGGGGGGGGGCCTTTTTTTTGGGAAAAACCAAAAAAAAGGGCAAAAAAAAGGGGGGGGGGGGGGGGGAAAAAAGGCCAAAACAATTTTTTTTTTGGAAAAACCTCCCCCCCAACCTGGAGAAGAAAGGGCCCTTTGGGAAAACAAAAAAAATTTAAAGGGACGTTCCGGGGTGGGTTTCCCCAAAGCCCCAGGAAAAAAAGGGAACGGGGAAACCCCCCAAAAAATATTTTAAAACCCCCCGTTTTGGGAAAAAAAAACTCAACGGGAAAGGGGGCACCAAAAAACTTTTTTGCCAAAAGGCCCCCCCCCCCCACAAGGGGGGAAAAA